GCCCCCCCCCCCCCCCCCCCCCCCCCACTCTCCCTCCCCTCCTCCGATGCCCCCCCTTACCTTGGCTCGTTGAAAACGCTAACAATCTCGAGGTCAGCGTCCTCCGATTCCCACGGCTGGTCCTTATGCTTCGACGATCTCGGTAACCCCTCTCTCTCTCTCTTCCATCCCATCATCGGCCTCCCTCCCTTGATCTCTCCTGCTGTTCAGTATTTTGATGTGATGCCCTTGAGCAAGATGCCCGGGGAAACCGGCCACATGCGTGGGTCTACTCAGTTTGTGGAGTTCGATGGGGGAGCCTTTGCTCGTTAGGGAGGCCGTTAAGGTTGAGGATTGGAGGGCTACAGTTGGGTTTCAAGTTTTTTAGAGCGGAGCTCGATAGAAGGATGTGGGTCGACGTGAAGAGCATTGGTGACGATCGAGTGCTGATGTTTCATGCGTCTTGTGCTGTTTCATTGTCGTCGGTTGATATTGGAGCGGCTAGAGGGAACCGTATCTATTTTTCTAAAGGAATGCAGCATGAGGAGGATATTCTGCGGAATAGTGGAGAGGCACCATGGAAGGTGGTTGACTTAGCTACTGGGAAGGTGACGGACTTGTTTGCTTCCAAATGCTTCTCGGATTGAGAAATCTTATCAGAAACTGTTCGTTCCCATCTTATGTTAGTCATCAGATTCGAGGTTTGTGCTCCTTCCTTTCTACCAGTTAAATTGATCATTACCTGTTTTATATTCTCCTTTCAAATGCTTCGTTATGTCATACATATTGATGCTAATGTAGATGATTTATTGCAATCATATGATGTCATTTCGCATATAGGTAGTGTTAGTTCAGTAATGGTGCTGGTGTAATTTGCTTCATTCTGTTCCTGGTTCTGTATTTCGCTGTTCTTCATTTGCTTGGTGGGCAAGTCAGGAGAGAAAAAGGAGAGTAATATATATGCAAAATATAGAAGATGTGGGTTGAGTGGATTTTTTGGAACTTTGGGCATTTTTTTTCTTGTTGAGCTCAGATGTATGGCACATGAGTCGTTACAGTTTATATTTTTAGGTTGTTGGATTTTGTAGGGAAGTGTTATGGGTGCTTTGTCCAATTTTGAGAACATATGGTAGTTTCATGCAAATGGGCCAAACTTCATGAGTGTAGTCCCTTAAAAAGTAGGATAGGTACACTGGTGTGTCAAACTTTTTAATGTTTTTGTGGATTGAGGCCTTTGTGGTTATACTTCGCCTTTTTGGTTGTGCTACTGCAGTTATGTCATATGTGATGCCGTTATCATACCCATGTTTCAGATAATTAATTGAATCACTTTTATTTGACACCCAAATGATCTTCAAGGATAGCTTGAGAATCTTACGTCTCCACATAGTGTATAGAAATAAGCAAATTCACTCGCTTTCTTAGCCTCCTAAAATGGGATTAAGAGGGAAGTGATTGCGGTTTAAGTAAAATTTCCTAAAAATCCCAAATTGTCCTAGAGAAAATAATTAGACTTTATAATATAACTAAACTTCTCACAGTGACAGCAAAAATCAGCAGCTTTTCAAAAAAAAAAAAAAACCTACATTGTGGCACCATGTACACATGTATCAATCCCTTGTGATTTCTTCACCATTAACCTTGTCTATTGTTTATTATCTCTCTGTGAAAGTCTGATTATTTAAAATATGGGCCAATATTATAGCACAGTGTCGTTTCTTTTTAACACTTACCTCATCGTTTCTCATCTTTTTTCATTCATTTATATCCGGGTGCCTCGAATGGACTTTTATGATAGAGTCCCACTACGGGTCCATCACAAACCACACCTCCGACCACACCATTCACTAAACAACAGCCACGTGGAAAATCAATCGTAGGAGAAATCTTCGTTCTCCCCTAAAATCTCAAAACCCTCTCGCTCGCCCATGCTGGGTCCTCGAGTTCAACCTCCGGCAACCGATCCCCAAGCACTCCCTAATGAACTCCCTCCCTCCTCCGCCGCCGTCTCAGCCGTTGCCGACCCGATTCCAGCGAGCCCTCCTCATCCGTCGCCTCGCCGGCGACCCCCTCTCCGAGTCCTCCCTCCTCTCCCTCGAGCTTCTCCACCAGCTCAACTCCGATTCCCGCGCTTACGACTCCTCTCCTCTAACCCTGACCTTGATCCGCTCCGCCTACGTCCATGCCGCCATGGGGTCCACGCTCAACGTGGGCTCGCCGGAGCTGGTGGCCGATGTCGTGGAGAGGACTTGGAGGATGAGGATCGGGGGTTTGATGGAGTCGGGGGCGAGCGGGTTGGTTTTCGAGGAGCTGATGGAGTGGAAGAGGAGGATGGAGGAGACGGAGGGTGAGAGTTTGGTGGTGGAGTGGAGGAGGGAGGCGGGGCTGGCGGCGGTGAGGGAGTATTTGGTGAAGGAGTTGGAGGTTGAGTATTTGGTGAAGGCGTTGGAGGTTATGTGTCCCACGGTGTTGGAGGTGGCGGCCGAGACTCATCTTAGTGGGAGGAGGACTTCGATGGAGGTTTTCCAGGAGTTTGATGATTGTGACTATGAACACGATGATAATGATAATGACGACCATGACCGTGATGGTGGTGGTCGTAGTATGGAGAGAAATGGGGTCTGTCCTGTTATCAGGGAAGATGAAGGAGTTAATGGGTTGTTAGAAGGAAAGAGTAGTTTGATTTGCGGAGACGATAATGAATTTGAGACTTTGAATGGTTTGGATAGAGGGGAGGAGGCGATGATTGACGGAGAGGTTGAAAAAGGGGAATTGAGCGGGTGTTTGAATGGGGTCGCCAGTGCTGATTGTGATTTTAATGTAGAAGGGGGACAACCTGAGACTTCGGATGGGTTATGTAGAGGGGAGGAGAGAAATGAAGGGAATGTTCATTTGTAATGTTCATTTGTAATACTCCATCAGCTCCATCAGCTCCTCGGAATGTTCATTTATAATACCCAAATCAATAACATGCAAGCACACAACTGAGACTGGGGCCAAGCCAACAATTCAAACCAAATGCCAAGCAAACATTTGGAACCAGTTTGCACATAAATTGAAACCGAATGCCAAACAAACAATTAAAACCAAACACCTAGCAACAACATTGAAACCAATATCATAACCAACACAACTGAAACAAAACATTTGCTGGAAATGAATAAGGCAAGCACACAACTGTGCTCAAACAGCGCAAGAGCTGAAATCAAGGCCGAGAGCAAGGCTGAAACCAAAGAAGCACAGATAACAGGTGTACTTTATACATAACATCCATCAAAAGAGAAGCATACAATTCACTTCCAAAAAAAGACTGATAATAGGTCCATTAAACAACCAAATCTTCTACTCTTATGTAAATTTAAGCTATTGTCCTCTATTCCAACCTTGCCATTGACTTTCCATTAAACTTGGTTGTGATCCTCCCCAACCTTGACAACCTGTAATACCTGATTGCCCTCTCCAAACTTAACTATTAAGTGAACTTGGCATGGAGCTTTGTGAACTTGGGATATTGTGCATAAATTGGTTGAAGCTAATTCCGTTTGGTGTCATATTTGGTTGCATATTATGGGGCATCAAGTTTGGCCACATTAATTGCCCTATGTAGCTTGGGTAACTCTGTCCATTTTAAAGAAATGTAACATTACACAAATCGATTAACACTAAATTAGACATGAAATAGGAAATTAGCTATAAAAAAATTCTTACATTTACATTTACAAGACTCTATTGTGTCCCAGATACATGGCAACCGCAATCTCCTCGACATCCTGAAATTACCAAATAATTATATTACTATGCATTTATCGAATATATCTATATGTCCATATGAACTAGTAAGCAACAAAACAACAAAAAATTATACCTTGGCTTTTTCATTGGACAATGTCTTCTTTTTTGTTTGCCTTTTCTTGTTAACAATTTTCTCCACTACACCTTCCTTCCTTTTAGACCGTGGTCTTCCTTTTCGTCGAACTTGTTCCGGGTCATGTATATCTGTGCTATGTTTGGAAGGTAGAACTCCATCTCCTAGGGAAAAAGAATCATTAGGAGTACTTGAAGTCATATTACTTCGACAAACAACTGAAGCTTCAATCAACTTTTGTTTTAGCTCGCTTATTTGTGTCATCACCATATCATACTTCTCTTTAGAAACTTCCGCCAAATCGGCAACCTCATTAAAGAGATTGCACATGTTGTCATGTCGGTGCGCTTCAACAGTGGTTGACGAGTTATCATAATTTATCCGAATTTTAGTGTGGACCCTATTCA